CTGATTCAAAGCACATTCAAGCAAAAAAAAGAGACATTTCAAACATCCGATAAAGTTGTCTATGGAGCAACTTGATACAGCCCAATGTGCGGCGCCCCGACGCCCCGCTTGCCGGCGTTCAGTCGTCGCGTGGTCGCGTGGCTCATCGGCGTCCCGGCGCGCGATGTCCTTTGAGCTCTTATCACGTCTACGAACAAACGCGATCTTCGAAAATTCTGTACTGTGCAAAAATTTAACATTTCCCATTTAAACTATTCTGTGTTGGTTTTCATTACCTTTTTAATTCAGTTTTAATTGTATAAGTCGGTGCGTTTGTTAATTTTTTACTTGCTTTCTACTTCTCTGTGACATTATTTATTGTTTTAATTGGATTTGTTCAGCGAAGATCTGGCAGCCTGTGTTTGGAAACTTACGTAAGTAGTTTACTGCAATGCGATTTATGTTTTAGTAAGGTCACTTGTCGTTCGATGCAGGTGATGATGCCGCTTGCCGCAGTCAACACCACCGTTCTCTTCGGAAGCGACGATCTTGTTTTGTCGGCTTCTTACAAAATCTTCCCAGGGTGGAAAAACTTTTGAAGTTTTCTAAGTCTTACGTACGTTATTCAAATTTATGAATTATGTTTTTTATATCTTTAGGTAAGTTCTTGTATTTATAATATTCTTTATAAATACATTAGTAGATGTAATCCCTGGAATGGATTAGTAAACTATAAGTGTAGTCTGTATTGCCAGTGAAGTGCGAGAAGTGCCGACTGCCCGGCGCAAGGGCCCGGTTACCCACCAGTCCACCACGAGATCACGACAAGCGTAGGTTAGCGTCCGATGCACCCTTCTCTGGCTGTTGCTCTCTACCTACGAGAAACGTCTCTAGTCTTTCCTACTTTGATTCAATATAAAGTGAATTTAGCAGAGGAGAAGCAATATGTATGATGGATTAAGATACTTCTCAACAGCTGACACTGAACTTTATTAACTTATAATACGTGTTATATATCTATCATTTTCCTGATGAAGCAATTTTATTTTTATGAAATCTTGTGCAAACGAGTCGTTGTCATGAGTTTACATCGGTAGAATAAGTGGTGAATGCTGGCTATGTTAGAAGTCACATTCAGAGTTTAAAACTACACTGAAACTCATCTGTGTGCAAAGTTGCTGAAGTCGCTAAAATAGTGTTCGATGCGTTCATAAGTTCCAAGCACATAAAACAGCAATAACACAGTTAGCACAGTAAACCGGGGCTTTAAGGTAAAAATAGCGATCGTAGGACATTTCATCACGACGTGGTACTTATTATGCGAATAAGGGGGAGCCGCGCAGGGTCGCCCGCTCACAGACCCTTTGTGCTTGTCAACTTAATAATTTTTAACTAATTGTTATGAAATCTTATGTGTGATTTCTTTGTTTTTCAGTTTTAATGATATCGCCAGGAAAAAGATAATCTGAAGTTAAACATGGCTAAACTAAAATAGTTAGAAGAGAAATTCATCCACATGTAGCGACGAAATTTTTTTCGCCTTATGAAAAAACAACGGACAAATTAAAAAAAGTCCTTATGTAATAATTAGCATGGCGTAAAAAGTAATAGATATTTGTTATTATTTCGCGTATGACGCGTATTTTATGTGGATCGATATGATGGCTTGCAATCGCGTGGGGCGAGGGCGCGGACGAGGCGAGGGCTGCGTGCCCTCTCCCGCGCGTCCCGTCAGTGCGCCCGCGCCTTTTCGTCCGCCGTAACTAAAGCGTCGGTGGTCCAGTGGTTTAAGCACTTGACTTGTAATCTACAGGTCTTGTATTCGAATCCCGTCATGTATTAATGCAATTCTCGAATTTTCAAAAGTGCGTAATTTAGCCGACGTTCTTACGGTGTTGCAACCAGCATATATCAGCGAAGAAATTCAAAGATAAGAAGTAGGCCAGCGTGGTTGACTAAGACCTAGTAGGGGCATACAGTGAGCTGGTGATGATGAAGATGAGCCGCGCCATTTCTTAACATGATAACATGTTTTAATTTCCACTGGCGGTGCAGCACAGCCCAGCCCTTACATACGTCTCGAGCGGGGGATTGCTTTACTGCTAACTGTAGCAGTTTTAATTAAGCATCGTCTGATTTATTGTAATTATAATCCAAATGTATTTACTTTAACCATAATGGGTATCTACAAGATAATAAACAACAACGATGCATTTGCTGCATACTGCATACAAATATTTATGATATGAGAAATACGTGTATTATAATTAAAAATAAAAATGTAACATGTGTATTGCTGGGTCCAGCTTTGGACAAAGGGTCCTTTCCTGAGGTCTGCGCTCAGGGTGCATATTTGGGACAGTACTTCTTGTAAATGGTTTCCCAGAACTCGATGTCATCCTTGTCAGGCACGGCGCGCGCTACTAGATTTTCTCCGATATCCAAATAGTCTTGACTCTTCAAAGTGTATGGTTGCCAAATTGCGCCGAGACTTTCATCGGGAGTTGGATTTCTAAAACAGAAATTGAGGTTAATTCTTAGTTTTGAAATGTTAGCATTACAACTCGTTTACATCTGTCGGATGTTAGGTTTTTAACGGTGTGTCGGCTACCTTCAAATGTATTGTAACATATTTCTCACCCGTATTTTGCGAAGTTTGTCCAGAGCGCCGTCATGTTACAAACGATACCGAAAGCAGGCGCTCCGCGGTCGAGCGGCGCGCCGAAGCTCCGCATTGGGAACAGGTATGGTAGCTCGTCGCCGTGGCATGCCACTGTCTTCTCGCCCACTAAGTCGGCCACTCCAAATAGATGTTTAAAGAAATTTCTTTCAGATTTACACGTAAATTTGTACAGAAAAGTTTTGTTATTGCAGAAACTTGCACATTTTTTTTGCCAGAAGATTGCAGGATATATAAAGTTCTCTGCGCCGATAAAAGCATACAAACAATCGATGTTTTCCATAGATAATTCTTTTTCATCGAAATAGTGTTTTTTCAAAATTTTGCCTACTTCGATTTGATCCGATATTGGACTAGTCAAGGCGATAGTTCTCGGTACAAAATATTCGGCATATTTTTTAGCCTGCACAAAAACGTCGTGGATATTATTCCCGAGTCCCAACATCATCACTCCCTCGTCTTCCGTGTAGCCGTTCATCACCTCCACACCCTCGTGTATTCCTCTATGTAATAAATTAATTGGGTCATCAGGCATGAAGCTTTCTTCACTACTAAATTGTTGCTCTACAGTAACACAGAATTCTACGAGAGAACATTCCTTGTTCGCCTCAGCATATGTTAACGGCACGCTCTTTCTAATGAGTGCTTCGACAGGTTGCGATTTAAAAAACTCATACACATCCTTTTCATTAGTTGAAGTACATCCCATTTCTCTAGCTAGTCCTAGCGACCGTTCTTTTAACATAAAACTTGTTGCCCACGGACACATAGCGGTTCCACTTTGTTGTATTGCTCTTTTGAATAACCCTTTGCTCATGGGCGACAGAAGGTGAAAAGAAACGCTCGCACCTCCTGCGCTCTCTCCGAATATGGTAACATTGTCAGGATCCCCTCCGAAGCTAGCGATGTTTGTCTGCACCCATCTGAGCGCCGCCACCTGGTCCTTCATGCCCGCATTGCCGGGCACCTCAGCCGTGTTCAGGCATAGAAAGCCTAGCACCTCTAGTCTGTAGTTTATCGTAACCAGAATTACGTCGTGTCTCACTAAAAAATCCGGTCCGTATGTATCATCGCTTCCAGAACCGCTGATGAAACCTCCCCCGTGTATCCAGACCATGACAGGCAGCGGTCGCGCGGGGCTGACGTTCGGTGAGTAAACGTTGAGGTAGAGGCAGTCCTCGCTTCCTTGTGGCGGCAGACCGAAGAAGGCGTCGTGCTGATAGCAATCGTCTCCAAGCTTCGTGGCATCGCGCACTCCGGGCCAAGACTTCGGTGGCTGAGGCGCCTGGAATATACCTTTATTTATTCATTTTTTTTTTCAAACAAAAGCATACATGTTATTCCATTTTAATATCATCATCTATGGCAACCTGTACAGCAGTCAGAAAAAAAATTAGATCTTTATTGATACATTTTTTAAAGAAATTAGTTGCTCTTTCAACTGTTTATGTTTAAATAGCGTTTGCCCGCGACTCCGTCCGCGTGGAATTAAATAAAAAACATAATTAAGTAGCCTACGTGTTCTTCCCGACTATCATCTACATCTATGCCAAATTTCATCGAGATCCGATCGCTATTTCCCTATTACTATACATAACGGTTAGCCATGAATGTGCTGTAGCTTAAAGATTCTCTTTCATTTACCTTGAACCTGAGCTCTCCCAGGGGAGGCTGGGCATAAGGGATGCCCTTGAAGCTGTAGATTTTGCCGCCGTACTCATTGTTTGTCACCACTCCTTCTAAAATACCCTCTTTAACTCGTATTTGAATCATTTTGTATTAACTCACTGAATCGCAGCGCACTACCAGTTATGCTGCGCCGCCGCCTCCACTTAATATAAGGTGATTTCGGCCGTGATATCGCTCATGACTCGGTGGAACTATGCGGTACACTCGCCGCCAAAACACGGATCCTTCAGCCTTCAGGCGATTCCTTTTGCAACTTTGAAAGTTCGCCAGACACTATCTAAATAGTGTAGTATCAATCGGACAACTGAATAAAAACTGTCAAGTTTTATTAATTAAACGTTTTTTAATCGCCTTCTTTATTTAGATCAAATCTAGTAATTGATACTAGACCTTGCTCCTGTTGATAGATTGAGCCGAAACTTGATTTTAAATAGTACAGGCGATTCCGAGAAACTTTAAAAGCTTTAAAAAGGTATAAAAGCTGCTTACCTAAATTATAGTCATTGAATTTTTGTAACATGTTTGCGGCTCGATGTTTGATGTTGCGTAGAGAAGTGTGTTCCTAGAAATATTTGACATCCGTGTGGCGGATCATATTATGTGTAGTTGTAGTTTCGTCAAGCTTGTTATAAAGTAATGCTGATTGTAAATTGCAAGTGACTGTACGCCAGCTTCAAATCGCTTACAGCGCGTTACATGCAGTAATCTTCTATCTTATCGTAAATTTTGATAAACCGTGTAAAAAATAGGCAACTGATTGATAAATAGTGTACTTTGACACAGCCTGAATAACTAAGCAGTGGCAGAGCAAGAACTAAATGTCATTGGGGATGTCATCAACGAGGTCCAATAGTAGCGAGCGACTAGTGTTCAGTTTCATTTTCAGTCCGTTTGTTAAGGAGACCCGCATACTAACGGTCAAATACTTCGGTTAAAACTGTAGGAACTGAGCGTATGAAGCGGGATTTAAAAATGCAACAACCGTTCACGGCGCAATTTATCAAGTACCACAGAACTCAAACCATCGACTTTTGGAAACCGTCACTTTGTGTGTTTGTGTTACGTGTTCTTCATTTGCTTTTAGCATTGATACCATCTGGACGAAACAGTGTATCGCATTTGGTCGCATTGTATGTAATAAACATTGCAAGAATAGTCCAAAATATCGACAGCTCTATTTCACAAGAGAATTTGCTAAGTTTGCATACATAACTTTTAAAAGATTTTTTTTAATATGTAACTATCCAACATGTGGCGCTACTGCGCGCTAGACATATACTGAAAAAATGTAATGTTGAAAAAAACTGAAAAAAAGAAACACATGTAAGTAACGATACGACAGAAATAATTTTCTATGATTTGTTGACAACGGTCTAGAGACTAGAGATCTGCGTACCGCCGGCGCCGGACGACCGCGATGCGATGTAGCAGGGAGAGGCGACCAATTCAAGGTTAATCACACACAAATAGTTCTGGACTAATGTAGGGTTACCTATTTATTACTAGATTTTTTAAGTTCTCGTAAACGAAATCGAGAGCTTTGATTGTTTTTTATAATGTACAAAATATAAACATGTACCCATGCCTAATTTTTTCCTGTAATTACTAGTTGTAAATAGTTTACAATTACAATGGCAAGATCAGTTTATAGTATAGTATACTTGTAACAAATTAAATAGTAGGAAAAAAATTGTATCACTCATTATAAAAATTTTGTATAGAAACAACAAAATATGTAATCGCATGTTTGCCGCTATGTGACCACAGGCGCTTGTTTGTGGCTGTATGATGATGTGAGTGTGACCTCCAGACGAGTATGAATAACAGGTACCTGCCACTGGCCAGCATTATAAACAAGATGTTTAAGGCGGTCCTTAATAATTAAAATAGGCATGGGACTATTACTAAAGAAGCGTTTACAATAATGAAACTAAGTAATGTATCCTTACAATAATTGTTCAACAACCCTAGTTTATAATTTACCTAAATTTTGAAATGGCCATGCAAAACGTTCGTGAAACGGTAAAGGGTCTGTCAGGGAAGTCCTGCGGCCTTGTAGATGCTCGACCAGAAGGCGAGAACGGGTGCGTCGAGCCCCGTACCTGGCGTCAGCCGCTCCGCTATATCCAGGTAGGCGCCACTCCGCCTGTCGTACTCGGCCCACACTACGCCTAGGGAGCCGTCTGGAGTTGGGTTTCTGAAATTCATTACCTTTCCTTTATCTCCGTAAAAATTGGTTGTTGACAAAAATAAATAACACATGAGCCGTGACAGCGAATGTATTTAATTTGTTAGTTGTTAATTTAAGTAGTGAGAAAGCTACGAACTGTCCTGTTTTATTTGTAGAATTGTGCTTGAATAGTTGCTATGTATATTGCACAGGAAAAATGACACGAAATGGTAACTCACCCATATTTGGCAAAGTTGGTGAAGAGCTGACACGTTTGTTTGATCATCTTGTACGTGGAGCTGCTCTTGTCGAGGGGCAGGTTGTGCAGCTTCGAGTCGAACAGGTGCATCAAGTCCTCAAGATGAGATGTTCCAACTATGCCATATTTTAATCCTTCTTTTCCATAAATACATCTATCAGAGATGCATGAAAATTTGTACATGTAAATCTTTGTTCCGAGTTTAGGCAAGAGGTTAACATATTTATGTATGTCACGAACGAAAGTGGCATGTGAGGCATATTCAACAAATGCTTTGATTTGGTCAACATTTATGGGCTTATCTCCAAAATAATGTTTGTAAATTTTGTCGGACAATTGCATTACGGTCCCGGCGTTGCTTTTTAATAAAATCTTTCGAGGAACAAGCATTTCAGGATATCGGTTGTAGATTTCAACGTGTTTATTTACGTAATGTGGCAGGCCGACCAGAGATTCCTCGCTTGTGTATCCTATCATAACGTCCACTTTGTTGACTCGACCAGTCCTCATAGCTACCTCGAAATCTTCCGTTATAAAATGATCGCGCCCAAAGTCTTTTTCAATAACTGGCCCAAAATTGTACATTTTGAGAAGGTTGCTAGATTCCAATTCTTCGTATATTAATACGCAAGGCTTGGTATTGACTAATTTTTCAACAGGAACATTTTGAAGGAACTCTAAGAGTTCATCGGGATCACTAGTCTCTAATCCCAGCTGCTTCGCCAGAATAAATGCGCGCCTCCTTGGTTCAAAGCTGACAGACCAGTCGCAAAAAGGCACGCCGCTCATAGGGATCGCTCGCCTGAAGAGGCCGTGTGACAGCGGGGAGAGGACATGTAGCGCCGTAGACGCGCCGCCCGCACTCTCGCCGAATACCGTCACATTGTCAGGGTCGCCTCCGAAGCTCCCTATATTTTTCTTGACCCACCTCAATGCTGCCACTTGGTCCTTCAAGCCGGCGTTGCCCGGGACATCCGCGGTGTCCATGCAAAGAAATCCCAACACTTCTAGTCTGTAATTAATCGTTACCAGCACCACATCGTGGCACATGAGGAAATCCGGCCCGTAATGATCCACGTCGCCCGAGCCGCTCATGAATCCGCCGCCATGGATGAATACCATCACCGGCAATGGTGCCTCGGGTTTCAAGTTCGGCGAGTACACGTTTAAGTACAAGCAATCTTCCGACCCGGCCAACATTTCGTTGGTAAATATGTCCTTTTGTGGACAGGGTGGTCCGTGTTGAGTAGCTTTTCTAACACCCGTCCACGGTACAGGAGGTAATGGGGCCTAAAAAATAATTCACTACATTAACCACGAATACTTGTTGTTACACTTTATTGTGGGTCAGTGTTAATAAACAATCATCATCTCGCTGGAAGGAACTGAGTTGCGTAAAGATCCGAGTGGACGAGGGTTCGTCGCAGCAAGTTTTCGTTCGATTTAACAAATGTTTACTTCTAATCTGTCAAGAATACCTTGGTTGTGAATTCTTCAAAATGCAAATGTGTGAGTATATATTATTGGGAACTAAAAACAAATTTAGTAAGTTGACCGTCATCGGCCAAAAGTAAAAATTCTTAAAAGTAATTGTTAAAAAATTAGTTACATCTAAAGTGAAATTTTGCTTACCTTAAATCTCCGTTTGCCAACAGGCGGCGCAGCGTATGGAATGCCTTTGAAGCTGTAATATTTTTGGTCCCCTGTGACGGCGTCAAGCAGCTCTCCCTCCAATATGCCCTGGCTAACCCTAACCTGCGCCATGGCGTCACTGCTCGCCTTCGTTGTCGGTGTCGGTGCCCGCGTTGGCGTCGGTATCGGCGTCGGTGTCGGTGTCGGTGTCGGTGTCGCCTTCGATGTCGGTGATGTCACAGTGCGTACGTTTCTCACACGACAGCCCCAATCCGTGCCAAACTGGACCACTTTTCGCGCTATCTTTTGTGGAACGCTATTTATACGACAATTAATCGGTAATGATAATGATTTTTATTTTTCTGTGTTGAGATTATAAACGCATACGTCAGTTTGTCTACCGACTATCAGCGCGGCGCGGTGTTGACATCACCGATCTATTATCGCGAGTGTAGAGTCCGACAACACAATCACCTAAACAAATTGTAACTAAATTGTTACAAAACGATACAGAAAAGACAGTCATAAATATTTTTACCAATCTATACTATTATAATAAAGCGTAAACACACACTTCTTTGTTGCCTAAGATGTCAGAAATTACAGCATATTTTTGAATTTTTTTTTTTAATAAAATGCCCTATACTTGCGTCACGCTTTAGGCTATATATTTTCACGCCATTAAACTTAGGGGGTAAATTTTTTGGATAAAACCACAATGTGGGAAAGAGACCATAAGTTGCTGCCAACATCAAGGAAGCAAGACTGTCAAGATTTGTCATGTCATGTCATGTCATATTGACATTTGCTATTGATAATTTGACAAATTTTCACAATTTCATGCGGATGAAGCCGCACGGGAACAGCTAGTTGTAGAATAAAATTGTCCTTTACAGTATTTAAATTGGACTAATAATTTGGAAGACATCTATGATTACGTGAATTACTACTAAGTTTATACTTTAGGTAATAGGTTGAAAAAGGAGCGAACGTAATTTTTGAACTTTCAAATTTCACGCGGACGAAGTCGCGGGCAACAGGTAGTTCATAATAAAATATTGGTAAACCGATGCGATAACATGTGGGTGGCGCGGCGCTGCGCGGCGTGGGTTGAGTTATCGAAACTAGTACATGATTTGTGTATTCAGTTTGATTACATGTGATATCACAAATATTTTATACGAAATCATCGAGTGACAAAGGTCGACATAACAATTATTTCTGCGAAGTCATTATGTGAGAAGTGTTGTAACGATAACGATGATATTACTTAATTCACAATGTAAGTGGAGATAAGCGATGCCGCGCCGCGCCGCGCTGTAAGTACGTTGTAATAAGTACGTTAAAAGTACGTTGCTTCTTACTTTCTTACACAACTTTCTAAAGTTTCTGTCTTACGAGAGTGACGTTCTATGTATCAAGGTTGCGGGAAGGTTCTATGTATCAAGAGTATAACGCGCGGCGCATTATACGTTAGAAGACGCGCGTTGCCAAAAAATCAAAATCAAAATCTAAATATCATCAACATTTTTTCACATCATCAGAAGCCTAATGTAGCTGCGGTAATATTATGTCCTAAACGCCAAAACTTTACCATAAACAAATATTTATAAATAGGTCTTAGTTTCAAAATAAAAGTGAGTATGAAATATTGTTATCTCACCTTAAGTATATAGAAGTAGATGAGATCACTTCCGACAACCCTCTGCCTACAAAAGAAATTATTTGTAGTAGCGACTTGTGATACATTCTGCTTACAGTTCCATTATTGGAAAAAATAAAAAAAAGTCTATGGGCATTTACTTATAATATAATTACAATTAATACTAACAGCATTCTTAAAATTTGATTTCTATCAGCCTTGATATTTTTGATGTATCTATTTCTATTCGCCCAAAGTCTTAAATAACAATCTGGTCAGGTTTTCTTTGCAGATCCCAAACACTGTCTATAATTGCGTTGGAGTTATTTTTCAACTTACTTTTAAAGTTTAATTCAATTAACATGTAAGCACTTTGTCAAATAGTCTAGAAGCGTAGAGTGGCACTTGGTGTTTTCATGTTGCGATTTCCATCCCGAATACTTTAGTTGATGACAAACGCCTATGCTAACAACATCGGTCTTGGCGCCGGCACGGCTCGACTGCCACTGGCTGCCAGCTGGCCATGGCGGGGCACACTAGCGCCCGGCTAGCGGGGATTGGTATCTTGTTGGGACACGTTTCGTTTTCTAAACCCGTCAAAAGATAAAATACCGTACGAACAGAAAAAGAGAAATCACCCATTACCATGGCCCAAATATTTTGCTTAGCGACAACCGCCAGGTATACATATGTATGTATGATTACATCGCTTCAGAATAGAAGTACTTTCGCCGCTTACAATCTTGTCAATTTACCTATACATAAGATATCTCCTTTAAAACGGGATAAAATTATAACTGCACTAATTGATCTGTACGCAGTCGAGAGCTCCCGGACTGCAAATCGCGTCGTATATTCTGACTGTCCAACTTGAATTTGATAATTATCTTAATTAAATTAATACAGTGTTACTTTGGATTCCGATTGTATATCGGATTCATGTCGTTTCGTGTGCTCAATAAATGACGCCACGAGCGCCAGTCATCTTAACTCGTAGAATATACTTTTGTACATAGTTATTTGTCACTTGTGACGCTGAGGATTGTCCAATTGTATTATTATAATAATCAATGTTATCAGATAAGCTTCTGACAAGAATAATTGCTATGAAAAACTGTCAGGAGATATCTTGCGGATCGATCACAGAATCCTTCGGCTGACAAAAATTTACGTGCAATGGTTGCAAGGAAAATTCAATATCACGGAAAGTGGCAGACGGCAAATTGCGGCGGGCTTCAATGATCGTCGTGTAAATTTGAAGCCAGGGACAAACCCTTTAATTTTGCAGCAGAATTACTAACTTAGGCTGTCTCTTCGGTAAACAGTTATCAATTGCTGTAACCCTTCAGTCCCTATCCAGATGAGGTTTCTGACTATGGATTATACATCTTGGGCTCCAACCTTTGTTACTAGAAGAAGACGATCGTAATTTATTATTGTGTAATATAATAGAAAACCTGTACTGCCATTTTAATTAAATTGTACTAATGTTAAAAAGCCGTATTGGGCCGGATTTTTTTTTTATTATAAGTGTAAATATGTAAACAAAAAATGTAATCATAAGGGAAATAAAGCTATCTTTATCTTTATATTTTAATGGTAAAAAGATTTGTATTTTTGTATGAATCGAAATAACTCAAAAACTACTGGCCCGACTTAAAATAAATCTTTCTCCATTAAAAAGCTTCGTCATCGTCGAGTAACAAAGGCTATTACATTTTCACGTTGACGAAGTCGCGAGCAACGGCTAGTATAATGTATAATGGATAAAGGCATAAATTAAAATAACATTATTAAAATTAAAATAATTAGGGTTTGTTCAATCAAATAAACAAGGCATTCAAGTTATACGTTTTGTTACAGAACACCCCAGGCGCAGGTTGCGGGCGCAGCGCCAGCGGCGGCGGCGGCGGAGGCAGAAGCGGGGTAAGCTGCTTGGGTGAGCTTTTCCCACTTGGAACGCTTAAAAGCGGCAATCGGCGAAGAACACCGCCACGTGCGTTACTCACTCTTTTATCAGTGTGAGTGTAGGTCGTCCACTGCTGAACTGTACTGCTGTAGACCTCCCCCATTGATTGCCACAATGCCCGGTCCAGTGCCGCTCGCATCCAGTGCAGTCCCGCAACTTCACTTGATGAGATTTATATCTTTACGGTATTCTTCAACTTTTGCTTTTTCGAAATTCTTCAGTTTAAATAATGGTTGTCTTAATTACAAAGAAGCATTGTTTTTTGCGGCGCAACGGTAACTAGTATGTTAGATTTACTTTAGCTACTATTATTATATATTGATATAATTTAACCATAAAAATGTATGTTTCACACCGATATTGCGACTGCACGTATCTATGTACATACCTGACTAAGCTAAATGCGACTCCGTGGGTTGAGTGGAAGCAGCATAACTCAAACTCGCAAAGCGCCCTACAATTTTCCAACAATTTTGTGCGATAAAGGCTTTAAGGTGTCAAAGGTGTGCAGTGAACACGTTAAATCGTTTGAAGCAGTAGTATCGATTACCTGACAGCGGTTCTCAATCAACTTATACGGTGTGTGTGTGTTGAGAGGAGATGAGCCATTTCACTGGATGTGCACTCTCATGGCATTCGTCGAATTCAGTTTTGATATGTTACATACTTATATCATAAATCGTTATGCATTATCAATAACAACACGGGACTTCTAATAAAATAACATCATTACTTCTTTGAAATTACTCGGAAGATATTCCAATCTTTCTTTAAATGTGTTAACTGGATTTATGTAAAGTAAACAATAAGTAGTAATTACACTGGTATTTTCTGCCCCGCCCTCGCCACATCCGACGCCGCCAACCTTTGTCTACAGATCATGAGCTGGCTTGGGTGTTTTATTTAATACTAGCCGCTCAAACTGTTTTCATAAAAAAATGTTTAGATATCTGTGACAGTGACGTTATCTATATCTGTGGGTGTCAAGGTGAGACAACAATTACCAAACAATAAGTGTAACGGAGAACGCTCCTCGCTCCATGTTGAGAGCAAGAGGGTCTGCGCAGGCGGGGCCGCGGCGCAGCGGGCACCAGGCGAGGCCGCGACGCAGCGGGGTCCAGGAGCGTCCGCAGCCCGGGCTGCCGTCGCACGAGCGCGCCAAGTGTTTCCGGATCACTTGCTACGTTATAGTGCAGTGTGAGTTCTTCTATCAAGTCGAGAAAGTGCCTCCAATTCCTTTTTAACTGTCATTGCGCTGTAGTGGTTCATCTTTGTGGTTTAAAAAACTAAAATTTATTAAATGGGTAAGAAATAGGATTTTAAAGAGAATGAATTAGAAAATTGGAGCGTTACAATTTTGATTCCTCTATTCTCGTAGAGCTTCAAAAATGCTCTAATGTACGAGAGAGAGCTGGCGTGCAGGTGTGGCGGTATTCGTGGGCGCCGGCACCGTCTACCGGTGCGTGTGGGCGCCGGCGGCGGGGATGCGCGATTACGACAAGCTGGCGCGCATTATGTACTTGTACGACTCGGAGGCGTGCGGACGCCGCGTGGCCGCCGCACTCGCAATCGCCAACCTGCGGCTGAGCAACGCGACGGGGCCGCGCGGCGTTCGCCCTGTGCGCTGGCGGCCCGCCCTCGCCACCGTCTCCGCCAGCCTTTCCGCCGCCACCAGATGGTATCCAATCGGGTCTTAATTATTTGTACCATTTTATGCTATGTTGACATTTACCTCAATTCTGTCCCTCGTGTCAGGTACCTGAACTTCAGCGTGGCGATACATGCGCTATGGCTGCTGTCGGCCTTGCTCGTCAACATTCTAGTGAAAGCCCGCGCGAGGCTTCGGTTTCAAAAGATAGGGCTCTCGTTGTTCTTCTACGCGTCTATTTCTGTGGTGATATTCGATCTTTCCATGGCCATCGTGTACGCGTCGCATATCAAGAAGAGCCTAACAAAGGGCATGATACTGCGCTATAGCGGGTGGAGCGTCGAGATGAAGCTGGAGAACTATACGGCGTGGGGCGGTTGGGTGCCGCTGGCAGCAGCGCTGTGCTGGACCCGCGGCGGGTTGATCGAGTGCCTCAACGTGTATTGCTGCCGCGCCGTGCACCTCGCGCTGCGCGGCGTGAGGAAGCGCGAGGTAAAGCGTCGGCTCACATTGGCCTTGAATCCACCGCTACCGGAAGCGCGCTCGGAGAACCCCAGTGACGGCACCGTCCTCTACTTTAGGGCCGGAGAGTATATCCCCTTTAGAGAAAATAGGGTCGGTGGTCGTTTCTAATTTACATATACTGATGTCCGTACAATACTCTCATGTTTACATTAGTTGCATATTTATTAAGTTGTAATAATAAAAAAAAAAGTCTATGTTAATCTATACTTACTATACTATTATAATAAAGCGTAAACACACACTCTTTTGTTGCCTAACATGTCAGCTATTACAGCTTATTTTTGAATAATTCTTTTTTTGATAAAAAGTCCTACACTTACGTCACTCTTTACGCTATACATTTTCACGCCATTAAACTTAGGGGGTAAATATTTTGGTTAAAAACCCTAATGTGGGAAAGAGACCATAAGTTGTTGCCAACATCAAGGAAGCAAGGTTGCCATGTTTTGTTATCATGTCATGTCGTTTTGACCTTTACAATTGATAATTTGACACATGTAAAAAATAAAATATTTTTTTCATAATTTTATGCGGATGAAGTCGCACGGGAACAGCTAGTCTACTTATAAATGGGCATGCTATAAGACGGCTATTTTGTATCTATTTGGTTTTCGCCATCTTGCTGCTGACGAACGGGTTTGGTGGCGGTCGTGACGATTGAACTAATAAAACAGATAGAGTTACATTTCATTAAAATTATAAATATCACTTTAAGGCTTTAATGTAGTTTATTTGAACAAAAAAGAAGTAAGCTGAATCTATTATCCGAAAGACGTAAGCGGCGCGCGGCGGCCGAGCTGCAGGCGCGCAGGGCCCCCCGCGCCCCGCGCGGCTGCTGTCTTCGTCTGCGGAAGCAGCACGTAGTACGTCCCGACGCTCCTCAGCACCTCCACAGGTCCTTCTATTTTTTCTGCTCGAAGATTCTCCGGGGTCTCAGTGGTGGGCGCGTCTGTTGTCGGTACGCCAGAGGTGTCATCGGGCACGCCGTATAAGTCGTCCGGAGTTCCGTAGCCAGCGTTTGGCTCTCCGGGTAACCGGAAAGGCGTCCCTTCGGGCTTCCATCCCGAAGGAGGGTAAGGGGCCCTCGCCGCCGCCTGCTCTTGGGGGAGTGCGAAGGACGCGCCTGCCGGCTTCCACCCGGATGGCGGGTACGGCCCCCCGACGGAGTCGGTAGTGGGCTCAGCTGACGGTTCAGTCGTCGGCACTAGTTCGAAGCGCTGCGACCTGAACCTAGTTGGCGGCAGGCGCGGAGGCTGCAGCTGCCCCGGCGCCCTCGCCCGCGTACTTTCTGCTGCCCCGGTTCGGAGGCTCCCGGCGATAACACAGAGCAGGACTAATGGCTTCATTTTCGATTGATTATCGAATGAATATGATCTAGTAGTGTCCATCTATTTATAGTGTGCCATGTCTATAATAATTATACGGTTGGAAATATTTATAGTTTGTTGCACATAAATGGTGCGTCCGAGGAAGGTTGGGCGATCGCGAGGACGCCGTGCTAGACACGCTGCAGCCCGGGGTCATCCTCACTCGTTGTTGCACAATTCAGTAGCGTGTAGTGACTAACTTAAATGCCCTGAAACCTACAGCGGGCAAATATTCTTACTATCGTTACTTAGCAACACTGCCAGCGATTATTTTCTCTTCCGGTAATAGCTGCCATAAATATACGTTTGTTTCTAATCAAGAGCTTTTAATTAACCAATAATTTTATTAACTATCTCTTACTATTTGTACAAGACGTTTTTTAATTATGAAACTTGTCAGATCTCAATCGCTGTATCTACTTCTTTGTTGCAATTTTTCATTTTGCATTTTACCTGAAAACATTATGATATTTACAAACTAATAAATAAAATATTAGCTCGCTGTTTTAGTATCTACATCAAAATCTAAAAAATCAGTACCCAGAATCTGTTATAGAAAAAAATACTATTATTATATACCTCGTAACAATACTAAGACTAGGAGCGTATCTTCTTGTGTTGGTGACGTCTCAAAGTAAAGAAAACGGTGCGATTTTAGTACCACGATTACTATCTTGCAAGGCGTCCCATAATTTTTATCAGGAGACAGCGTGTGCTAACAAATTTTACGGAAATATGTATTTCAAATGGGTTCGGTATTTCATGAGATTGGCGTAGTGATATGCCTTATAATATAATATAAGGTGGCAAACGTAGCGGTCACCAGAATTCATAGTAATAGTGAAGTTACCACTGCCCATAGACATATTCAAATGGAGGGTGGGAAGGCAAAGCGCACTAAAATTAGATCTCCGCCTCACACATTCATCAGACAAAACGCGGAATTGCCTCCATTATACGCCTGTCGTCGTGGTATTTCATTGGTCCTGGGGTCTACGATGGTTAGACTTACAATTTTGTTGGACTTACGGTAGGCGACGAGGCTTTCTAGGTAGTTGTCTTTGAGGAGCCAGAAGTTGATAAACCAGTGTACGACGCCACGACAGCTGGCGTAGGCCAGCAGCGCACCTGCCCAGCTCGTGTCCGCCTGAGGGTGCGTTCCCGTCTGCCCCCCGCTGCGCCCGCGCCCGCTCAGCCACCGTAAACCGCCGCCGCCGGACTCGATGTACTCGAAAATATCTTCTAAACAACATACCCGTAATGCAAAAGGTGCTGATACACGGACGAATTTAAACAATAACTGTTTTCTCAAGAGTCATATGAGGATACACATATGCGCTCATCCAACAGGGCACACGGATAGAGGCGTGCACGTCGCTCGGCTCTCGACTTCAGTTTATGTTACATGCAACTGGTGATCTCATAACTCGCAGCAAAGTCATACCGTTATTTCTTACCGTGCAGCCTCTGTTATTTCTCTTAACTCTATGTCAATTTATATCATGATATTTTTACAAAAAATGAAGCACAATTTACGTTTAGTGATGGAAGAGATGAACAAAAAATAATTAGTCATAAATTTAAATTAGTTCGAAGTGTATGGTATGGTTGTGAGTGCGTTACGTTCTGTGCTCGTGTGGCGGATGTCGATGATGAAGAGTGCGGCATGCACCAGGTCAGTCAGCAGTAGCGCGGCGCCGGCGCAGCAGGCGGGCAGCAGCGCGCCGTACAGCGCGCACGGCCGCCGGCGCTGCGCCACGTGCGCCGCCGCCAGCGCCAGCCACGCTACGTGCAGCCCGAGCCACAACTGCATCTTGCTGCAAACATTCTCACCCAGAAATTGAAATCCTCAAACGTCAATAAAGGATCTTACTTGTGACAAAAATGTTCCTTAAAAGTTGTTTATTAAAATTTGCCGGCATACAGGCCGCACCTGCGGAAGGCGGCGGCGGGCGGGCTGTGCGCGGGCCAGGCGAGCGCGGAGAGCGACGCGCCGGCGGGCGAGCGCACCGTGTAGTTGTAGAGTGCGGGCGCGTTACAGGCGCGCGGCTCGTATAGGTACAGCAGCTTGAGCAGCGTCAGCTCGGCGAGCTCGCCCGCGCGCGGCGCCAGCCGGCAGCCCAGCGCCAGCCAGCTCACCAGCGCGCACGCCACCGCTACGCGTGCGCACAATAAAATATCCACCTATTTCTTTTAAAACCCCATTGTCTAGGAGGGACTACCTTTTAAATAAAAGATTTAAATTAACTATTTTATTTATCGCAGTTGTCGAAAATAATAATTTACTTAAATGTTAACTTTGATACTTGTGTCTAACAAAGCTATACGAGTACTTACTCTGGTACAATATTATTACTAAAGTCCAAACACCGAGGGAATCCATCTCTAAGCAACAAATCGCCTTCTATTTTAATTTTATTAAATTACGAATTAATTGTGTAATCCTCCAGTCGTCCTGCCGCGACCATTGCCTATTGAAAGAAATCAAGAGGGTCGCGTGACAAGATCAAAAACGTTTTAATTACAAGGGAACGAGTGAAAAGCATTTTTTCATTTTTTTATTTTTATTACAATTTATCACAATTAGCGTTTTCATTTGATCAAAAACATTTGCAATTGTTCTTAACATTATGTAAGCATTTCATCCGTTATTTTAATCCACTGGTATTATTATTTATGTCTAAAAATTTTACTTAATTATTTAGCGCCCTGCAAACTGCAAATTTTAGGGAACTTTAAAATAGGATTGTATATATGATCTACATTAGCGGTGCGGGGTTCGTGGTGCGTGGTGCAGGGTGCGGTGTGCGGGGTGCGGGGAAAGCGGGAGGTCACCGTATCAAATGTGTCGTCTTAATTAGTTTTCCCTCGTCCCCGCGCCCGCGCCCGCGCTCGCGCCATCTTCCTTTTACGGCTTCCCTCCAGACGGTGAGACGTGTTTACGGCCACTTGCCTCTGCCCGGATTATAAGTTTGTATGTAACTAAGGAAGCCATACGCTTCCTTACAACCCTTTTTACTGAAGTCCAGGAATAATTCATGTTTAGGATGATACGTACACACTTTGTTATTTCTTTACCTGAGTAGAGACGAAGCTACAGTTATTGTGAAATAGTAATCAGTAATCAGATTCAGAAGCCTCCGCCCGATGTAACAAACTCTGGCGGCAATGGAGGCGGCGCGTGCGCCTATACACAACCACGTCTCTGGTATAATTTATTTTGCTTCGCCATTTGAAATCTGGCATAACAAACATTTTTATTTATCAAACTCTGCCTTCTGTTTGTTTTCTCTCTTTTTGACCGACTTCCCAAAAGAAGGAGGTACTCAATTCGCCTGTATGTTTTTTTTTATTTTTTTTATGCGTGTTACGGCATAACTCCGCCGCTTGTGGACCGATTTTGATAATTCATTTTTTATCCGAAAGGTAATGCTTGCAGGTTGGTCCCATTTTTTTGTTTGATTTTTGGAGTCAAAAACTACGACGTAGTTAAATAGTTTAGCTCAAAATCGCGCGACGAAATTTCGGGTCATTTTTGCTTTCTTTGCTTACGTAGCCTAAACTATAAGACCTACATAAAAATGATATATGAAAGAATTGTAGTTCTTTCAATTACCTACATTAAAGTCCGCGATAGCATTAACATTATTTCCTTCGCTTTAACATCTTAGCATGAATTGGCCGGCACGCCCGGTGTAATACCACGACCACACAGAAGACAGGCGTGAAATGGAAGCAATTCCGTGTTTCGTCTGATGAGTGTGGTGCCGGAGGCCTAATTTAAGTCCCTTTCTCTTTACCACCCTTTTCAAGAGGATGGGAAGAGGAAGTGGATTTGATGGAGGCGGAGATACATAGGAAGGGGGGATATCCTCTTTATGTGCGTCTTCTCCTCTGTCGGATAAGGGTAGGCAACGCATCTGCAATTGCGGATGTCTATGGGCAGCGGTCGCTTCGCCATTTTGGCGGAATCAGGTGGTCGCTTGCTCGTTTGCCACCTTATGTTATAAAATGAAAAAAAAAAATAGCATATATCTATCTCTTAAGGTTGTCGCACAATAACCGTTTGTTTCGCGAAAACCGTCAAATAAATGCAATCGACTTCATTTAAGACGCTTTTATTCTTATTTGGTATGAATCCTTATCCAAATAAATATGTTTTCACGATGGATTATTAAATGTAGATCATAACTGCTTTTTACAGTATGTAATTCTGACCAATATTCTAGAAGTTATCAAAATATTAAAACTCACGGGCAACAGCGGTGCGCGGCTGGACAGAATTATGAGTGAATGGTCGCAACGATGTATTAGTTCTTTACTTAATTTCTTAGATAACTCATACTTTGTTTGAAAGCTAGCGATCATCATACTGCGATGTTTAGATTCACTAAAAATCGAGAAATAAATAAACTTTTTAATAAAAAAACAAAACCGACTTCCAAAAAAAATACACGAAAAACAAAACAAAATGCACTAAAAACAAAACAAAATATTCTCAAAAAAACAGTACACTAAAAAGTAACGAAATAATTCCTTGAAAATAGTAAAACTACCTTATTGTAACTGTTATGGCTATATTGTACAATTATTATTACTTTGGAGTCGGTGTCAGTCAATGTAGATTTATACTTAATTGTTACTATACTTTCAATTGTCAATTGTTATGGTAAAAATGTGGAAACCCTTACGTAGAAATATCACTGCATACCTTGGCTGACACCGACATCAAAGTTATAATAATTGTACAATATAGACATAACAGTTACAATAAGGTAGGTTTACTATTTTCAAGGAATTATTTCGTTACTTTTTAGTGTACTGTTTTTTTGAGAACATTTTGTTTTTGGTGTATTTTGTTCATGGTAGGTTTAACATGATTCAATGTAATGTAGTACAAACTGTATTACATTACAAAGATAAAGTTGAGACGAACTCGTCTAAGCCAAAATAATATGAATACTTGTCAAAGATATTTTAATTTATTCAATAAATAAGGTTTACATTATTATTTTTTTTCGTCTTTTCCGTGGTTTCGATTTGAATACTATTTCACTTTTTTCTAAATTGTGTTTTGCATTTGAAATTGAAACACCTTAGTAACTTAGTGATCGTTTGTGTGTTTGTGTTAAGTTTGAGAAGCACGCGCAGGGCTAGAGGAGAGTTCAGAGCAGCTGTATGTATGCGGCGGCGGCGGGCTGGTACTGAGCCGCGGCGGAGTACACGTAGAGCGGCGCGCGCTCCTCGGCGCGGTACTGCAGGCGCGCCGTGTATGCCATGTTGCGGTCGTCGCGCTCCGTGCGGTACTGCACGCGCTGCAGACGCCCGTCGCCCAACAGCACGTAGTACGCACCCGATGCGCTCACCACGTCTGCATCTTCCTCGAGCTTCTCTTTCTTGTCGTTTTGTCCGCTCCCTTCGATGGTCTCGACGTCATCCTTCGCTTCGTCGCCGGCGTCGGTGACTGGCGGGCCGTACTCTGTCTGCGGCTCAGCGGACGTGGCGTACGTGCCGAGCGGAGCGCCGTAGCTGGTGGCGGGCACGCCGTACGAGGTGGCGGGCGGAGCGAGATTCTCGCGACTCGGCAGCTCGAACGCCGTCGCCGGCCGGAAGCCAGCCGCTGGGTAAGGGGGGTCGTCGGCCTGCTGTCTGGCTGACCTTAGCCGCGCCTGCCGGGAGAGCAGGGGCTCGGCGGCTCCCATCGCCGCCAGAAGAAGGATGTAAGCGAAAGTCTTCATTGTTAGCGATACTTCGACGGTTCAGGAATGAATGATACTTTGTCCTAAAATGGCCGCGCTTATATACTCATTCCGACTGCTGGCTAGTTTCTTGTCTAAGTTTCCGATTAGCCGGATGTGTCATCGTCTCCTTCAAAATCGATATTCTGTTCGAGTGGACCGCGACATTGGCCTCCTAAGAAGAGCGCTAGGTTGCATAGCAGCGCGGCGGTCGATTAGGAGCTGTCATTGTTCATAGCGCGGACGTGAGGCGCCTGCCGAGTGGCGAGTGCCGGACGGTGCCGGGGATTCGCGCTAACAGACTTACTAAAATGCCTAACGAGTAGTTTCAATCATATACTACTTTGTGGGAAAAACGTTATGTTTTGTTGGCGCTAAATAGACCATTGCGGTAGTGGCCGTGCAAATTTGGAGCCTTGTTAAACATTAATTAAAACATAGGGTACGAGCTGCAAGTGGAATGCTTAAAACATTGCGCATTTCTCCTTGATAGTTGTATATGGTGCGCGAGGACGTGCCACTAAATTTGTTGTCCGAGATAGCGGCCGCTGAATAATAAGTGCTTAATTGATGTAAGTTATTTAAAACAAAGTAGGTATGCTTACAGCGTGCTTATGAAACCCATAGGTCGCATCGCCTGTTAATTTTGAATATTGTAATACATCACGTAGGTATTGCGGATAATTAAACATGTAAATCATTTACCCCTTTACAGTGTTTTTTTACAGTTTTTTTAAAGTGACTGTTTTTAATATTTTTCAACGTATTTAACCCAAAACATGCATGTCCATGCGATGCGACACGTGACGGCCACACGTCGTCTGCAATGTTTATATCTCACCTAAAATGGCGTCTGCTTGACATTTAATTACGCGGGCAAAATAGCGTTCATCGCCGCGCGTCGTCGCCGCTCGCCGGCCGCGCCGCGGACATTGCGTCGTCACATTATGATGGAGGGAAAAATAGATGTGGAAGGATAATTTATGACCGTGTTTTCTTATTGTGTCAACCTGTCAACGCCGCTGCCAAAAGTTCTTATGTGTTCAATTTTGAAATAGAAATTAGAAGAGAACAATTTTATATATTTTTTCCTCCAAAATGTTAAATATGTACGTAGTAGGTGTTTAGTTTTTTTTGTGCAAAATATGATAACGAGTATTAGTTACCTCTATATAGTAGATTAGAAGTAAATTGGATTTTAATAAATAGCGTAGCGATTGTCCGTGCTTGCTAGAGTTCGCCTACCTCAGTGAGCTACAGCAATGTCACTATGATTGAAAATAACGCGGTGGAACTATGTGATAGATTGATATTAGAAAATGAACGTAGTTAATCATTTTTTGTAATTTTTCGTCATTAGCAGGAAAATTACACCAATAAAATACGTACGTGACTTTTACAAGGATTTGTCAATAACAAGGTTTTAACGGAACCTTGTTGATTTAGGACACTGCTTCCTCCAGCTCAGACAAGGTCTGCAAATAAAAGGAAAATGGTGGATTTCTAATGTTTTTATTACATAAGGTTGGTACATACAATAAAAAATGTAATAATGTAGACTATGTTACTAAGTGACAATATTGCTTTCTTTTAAAAGATAATTTTGAAATCGATTCAGTAGTTTAGGGATCTGTTGAATGCCAACAAATAATCAAATTGTTTTTCATTATAATATAAGTATAAATAAGCTGGTAAATTAACAAACGGCCATCTGAATTCGGGGAAATAGCGAGGCTACTTCTGCCCATAGACATCCGCGTCTACACATGCATTGGCTACCATTAATCGACAGCGGAGAACGCACAGAAAGATGTTATTTCTCCTACCCATGCATTTCCTCCACCAATTTCACATTTTTCTTTTCCATCCCCACTTTACAAGAAAAGATGTTATTTCTCCTACCCATGCATTTCCTCCACCAATTTCACATTTTTCTTTTCCATCCCCACTTTACAAGAAAAGATGGGATGGTAAAGTGGACTAAATTCAGGCCTTTGGCACACACACGACAATAGACTAAATTTGTGACTGCATCCACATGACCTGGCGCCTGTGTGGTCGTGTTATTGCAGCAGTCAAGCTGGATGATACTTGTAATACATATCGTTGATGACTTTTAGTATGTTTAAATTACTTAATGGCAATTTAAAAAGCAAGCAATTGAGATTTTAACTTTATTGAAAACTGTGTATATAAATAATCGTTACAATTATTACTATTTCATTTACATACGGTAACGTAAAGATTAGTATCGTAGTAGTGCCGACAGCGACAATCTCGAACATACTAATTTACATATATGTTTTATGTAAAGTGAGAACGGTGTTAGAAGTGTATACACTCTATACTATGCAATAATTTCCCGTTTGTAATAAAGAGAGTTTAATCAAGTGAGCAGTCCCCCCCGCACGCCCGCGCCCTCGCTCACCGCACGTAGGTTGTATTTCACGTGGGATTTACGATCTCATTTCCGAGGATCAAACGCAGGACTTTCGAACGATTGTTTTAGTTAATATATTCGCCGTTTACCAGTGTTATTTGTGTCTGGTCTGCGGACTGCGGAGTCGACATTCTCTTGCGGTCGCAGATGGAATAAAGTCAAGTATAAACAATAAGACTAGACTGTTGTCGATTTTAGCTTTTTTAAATAGTCACCGAACTTGAAAGTCATTTGTATTATTGAAATTGCCTTCCATGAGAGTAAACAATTGTAGAAGATGATGTAGAAGGTGATGATCACACAAAGCTAGTGACATCTGCTCGCCGCCCGACGCCATCTCCTCTGACCATCTTTGAGCAAACCAGTTAACATTGAACATGTAGTAATACATTTTAGTGTTTTTAAATTATCATATCTACTAGGTAGTTGATATTATTGTAACAAAAGAGCGATGCGTGTTACCCGATAATTCGCATGAGTGGAATACAATCGAATGAGCCGAAATTCACTAGCGAAGCCGCCCCGGTCGCCGCCTCGCGCTGTTTGCGTGGTTTGCGTCGCTCGCAGGGCATTTGCAAACATATTGGAGAGATAATATCGGTTTGATTTGACTTTTAAATGTCTACCCCGATCTCCGTTGCCCCAATACCACGCAATCATTATATATTTGTATTCTATTCATATAACTTTTTTCCTACTTGCTTTAAAAAAATCCGTTATTTCAAATTACTTTCATCGGATAAATTTCTGTATTTTCGGTAAATAAAAATATAATGTTAAGTGTAATAAGAGGAAACGAAAGGCCAGTGCTAGTACATCTCGCAACTGTCTCAGTGGGAATATTATTTTGTATGTGGACTGTCGACGGTAAATTGAATCTTGTGCTCCCCCCCTCCCTCCCGCTTCTCCCTTGTCCCCGATCCTTATTCACATTCAATACTTTTACGATCAAAACGACATGCAACCAGTTCTATACGACCATGATAACCGACGAGTCCGACATCGTGTACTAGAGCCCGACGTAAATTGTTTAAAAATGTAAAGTTTATAACGTACGTAGTTGTTCACAAATTATATCATTTTATGTTTCTTATTTAATGCGCGACTACGGCTGCTGCCTGTTTGTTTGCAGCTTCGACTTCCGCAAATCCATTCTCGCCGCCGCCCGCCGCCCGCCGCCGCCCGCCGCTGACAGCGCCACTGTGCAGCTGACAATTTAAAAACTCCAATCAAGCGCTTAGCCGCTTGCTCAGAGTTGCAATTTCATTAGATTAAATAAACAAATGCTTATTTTATTTTTGCCCAATCATCTAGTAATTTTATCTTGTTAGCGTCAGCAGTTATAGGAACTTAGTATTTTTTAAGTAACCATACAACTTAAATTTGCACTATATGTTATTTAACAAATTATTAAATAGTTATGGAGTGAATATAACATTATTGAACGAACCTCATGAATACGTCCAGGCGGAGCGTGGGCTACTGAATTTTCCGGCGCGTAATCAACGTAGCAATCAATTAACGTCAACGCCATCTAGCGGCGGGAATAGTAATCCAATACAAGAGATCTAATTACCCGTGGAGGTGAGTTCGTTCATTGAACGTCGCTAACGAAGGGTTCATTCAAAAGGCTGTTGATTTTGTGAATAATTAAGCTCATTATATCAAATTGGGGAATATTCATAATATACATTTTCAAATAAGATCAAATCAAATACCTCAATAGAAATTAGTACAGGTATCAAATGGGAGGCAAAAATCATTTGTAAGACCAAATATACCCAATACACATTTGATATATCAACTTTTTTACTTGTTAATTATGTAACTAATTAGTTGTAAAAAATCTAAAGGGTTATTTGAAAGAGAAAGAAAGAAATCAGTTTATTCAAAAAAATTAAAAGGAATTCATTCGGCATGAGCACATGCACCGAGCACGGTGTACACCGAAGCGCCGGTTTTTAATGATTCCTTAAAACAGAACACACAGTTTTACAAAATAGTAGAAGAATAAAAATTCACAATATAATCGATTATACAATTCTAACATCAATTGAATTATAATAAATGTCGCTTTTTTCATTTAACCTCACTTCTCTGCTCGCGCGCTTTCACACTTTCAGCAAAGTTAACTGGCTGTTAGAAAGAATTATAAGTGTAAGCAACAGATAATAAAATAAAAAAAAGTGTTTTATATAACATTTTAGAATAACTTTTAATACACTTTAGAATAGATGATGCCTCTTTTTTACTGACTGTACGTGACGTCATCCTTGTTGCCATTTCCTTGCCAAAGCAACTCCAGAAACGATTCGCCGCGTCGCAAACTGCAACAAATAAGTTTTTTAACTTGAAATTTTATTTTTAAAATGCTTATAATTAAAATTTACTTAGTAATATCTTGCTGTTAGTATTGCTATTTTTTTCTCCAAACGTGTATAAGAAACTAATTTGATGCATTACTAAGTTATTGATCAAAACATTGTGTGTTCTTTGACGACGGAACTGCATTAAAAATACTTCTAAAATCACAATTACCTGCAAATGATATTATCGCTGTTTTTAATGTAGACAAATGTAGTTTCGATATTTATTTGTACTGAGGTGATTTTGGAAAATCTACGATTAAATGAATCTGTTCTGTTTTTGAACATTTTACAATTGTACAGTGAGTTTGCAGGCTTTACCGCGGTCTCATTTCGCCGCGGACGGTAAATTTGTAAAATAAACAACAAGGTTTTTTGGACGTTGGACAAGAACGGTCTCTCATTACACTTAATGATAGCAAAGAGAATAAATGAGACAAAAAACAAAGCAAAGTGCAAACAGAATGGAGTAAACAAAAAAAGCCTCGGAGACAATATAAAAGGCGTTGACGAAAATTTTATTCGTCCCTTTTAATTGCTAACAACCGCAAACGCTTGGAAAAGGTTTATAACGAAGTGAATGGTAAATAAATTACGTGAGAAGCAACTTGATTAAATATAAAGTTTTAATAATATTCCAAGCAGTCTATATTAAAACTGAATACATTACGATAAGATTACTATTCAAGTATTTAATTACTATAAGAGGTTAGATTCAGGATCGTGGGTGATTGGGGTGGTGGCCCTGTTCAACTTCCTAAACGATTCCGTTCCCGGGCAACAAGGTATGGTCGTCGTCCTGAGCTGTCAAAGTTTGCGGAGGTACGAGGGAAGATCCACCTTCCCTGGGTCGTGCAGAGAGTACCGGTTCATTTCTTTGGTGATCCCGGTATATACAGCCGCATTTGAGGATAGCCATCGAGGGGGTTTTAGTGAAGGCAGGATATCTTTTGAAAATTTCCTCCCGATATAACAAGGTATGAGGTTGGATTATACTTGTATATTATTTTTATTAACACAGTATTATGTATGCACATTCTGTGGTTCTAAGTTATCGTTTTCACAGTCCGTTGCATGATTTTCTCACGCCTGTGAGCGTTGGAAAGACAATTTAGCGAATGGCTCGCTTTCGCGCCATTTACCTTCGTCAATTAGTGTTAGCGCCATCTAGCGGCGATGACGTGCTGAATTCAAACCGATGCCTAATTACCCGAAAACGAGACTTCATATCCAATGCTACCAAAGGGTTTACTTGATAAATTGTTATAAATTGTAATAAATTCAGAGAGAAATGTGGCGATTGTCATTAGTTATGTACACGTATGAATATGTATTATGCGGTTAATGCAATTCAATAACATGTGAATTACAAGTAATAAAAATTGAAGTTGTATTTCTAGTATCTATAAAAACTATTTATTGTGGAGTAAATAATTTAGTTAGACTTGCCGCGCTGACTGTACACACCGGAAGTCGTAGCGTATTGAGCATCCGAGCAGTCGAGCTGACTTTTTCACTCTAAAGCAAAAACTTTGTCCTATTTCTTAGCAAATAAATGTAAAATAGCAACGCCGAGTTGTTCGCAAGGAACACATTTGCAAATTACTTTTTAAAATGTCTATGAAATTCGTTAACATTTTAAAGAATTGGAACTAGTAGTTACATTTATTCAAATTTTAAATTATTAAACGATACGAAACGGTATTTAATCTTAATTCTTTTTAAAAAGCTCACAAGAATAATAGATGAGGCACTCGTAGCTAATAGGTTCGCAGACAACAGAGGGCGCGGAGGGCGCGGAGGGCGCGGAGGGCGCGGAGGGAAGGGGAGAAGGTCCACGTTAATCTAATTACCGTGGAGAAATTCGATACGAGACAAATGGCCGCTTTTAATTTGTCTCACATACGTCACTTACGAGTTGAACACATACTGTACGGCGTTGACTCCATGTTATTCGTAAGTAACCCCTCTATCACCACAGAGAGTCAGTGTATAATAATTATCGTCAATTAAATAATAGTTTTTACACTAAATTAAATATTATTTGCCCAGGGCGCTAGGAGGGCACTGGGAAGGCGCTTGGGGGGCCCTGGGAGGGCGTAGGGCGCTGAGCTCATGGCTTGTTTCCAAGGGTCGCTCTCTATCCTATCCAGCGAGCGATCTTCTTTTTGTGTGCGTATCAAAAGGCTATTTAGGTATCGTTTACGTGCTCGATTCCAGCAGCCGCCAGTCGCCAGTCGCCAGTGCACCCATTTTACAATTTGACCTCGATTTGACTTTTACACATCTTATTGATATTAGAATAGTACGAAGTGAGTGATTGCTGAATTCAGAGGACGGATCAAAATAAGTACATAGTTGTAAAAGTGCGAAAAATGTGTTTTTTAATGAAATGTGGCCTGGGGGCTGTGTGTATGTGTGTGTGTGTTTGAGTGTGTGTAATGTTAGGATTGGGGGTGGGCAGGTGCACGAGCCTACCAGTCGACCTGTAGATGGCGCTGCCATCTGTAGCACCTGCGCTGCGTCGTCAGACTCGGAACGATTCAATAAAAGTTTTCACAAAACGTCTTTGAAACAATGACATTATATAAACTTTGCCTTCATCTGCGATCCTTGGTTTTGTGTTAAATTCAAACCAAGTTTGAACGCCGATGCCATCAAGTGGGATCGAAGTTTTCCTGTCTTCATACGTGCTTAATTCAAGAGGTACTTTTATACAATTACAATGAACTACATAATTGTTGTAAGAGAGAAAAGTTACGCTGAAGTGTTAAATATTGTATAGCAGTCGTGTTGTGTGATAACGTAAGGGATTGGTCTTCAATTTGTCAGCTGTGGAGACATCCGACAGGCCGCTAATGGAGTGTCGTGTTGCGGCCGGCGGCGGCGGGCGGCGGGCGGCGGGCGGCGGGCGGCGGGCGGCGGGCGGCGGGCGGCTGGCGACAGCGAGTTATCTAGAAAACTCTGACGTATGGCTTAGACGACACATTACAAACCAGACAAGCAATTACGTCTCGTCTCTGTTGTTCCTGGATTGGTTCTCAGTGATAAAGATAAAAAATTACTAAACAAGTATTTCATATTACTTTAATCATTCATACTTTGTAAAGATTGTTAAAGTGAAACTTTAGAGACGATTAGGAACAAGGTGCGCGAAATGAAGTCAAATGAATCCCGCTCACCCCCCTCCCCCTCCTCCGGGGAGGTTCCTTACGCGGCGGCAGGCAGGTGCTTGAGGAATCGCAGTAATTGCGCGACATTTCCGCCGCGTATCAAACAAATTCAATAACACATCGGCGGAGCTGCTTATTACGTTTTTATCACATCTCGTTATTAATAATGTAATCATCACATATATATGAATAATCTTCTCCATTTCAATGGAAATGTTTCTACATATGATATTAACGAACAAATACCGCAATTACTTAGCAACTTATTAATTTCGTATCGAGGTTCTGTTTGTTTCACAAAACACTGTTTTAGTATCAGTTTGAATGAAATACAAACAGCGCAGTGGTGCGTGTTCTGACCGAGCACAAACACAAACATATATTATTGCGAAACAATTCGCAAACGAATCAAATGTTTATTTTATTTTATTAACGTAACGAAACTATAACAAATATTTTTTCAGCCTTTACAAATAAATGCTTCTACGTTTATAAATTTAATTTGTATAAATAATTCGATTCTGTGAAAACTATTGTGAATCAAGGCTCGAAAGCGAATAATTCTGAAGGCAGTTTATTACTTTGTACGATAACGTAGTCGGAGATGCGCTGTGCACCAGTTCAACGATCTTGAACTGTTTCTAGTTTATGACTAACTATTAAAACTCTTAATAGTAGTAAAGTGAAGAGGAAGGTATTTTAACACTGATAGTAATAATTTTGAGCTCCAGCGACACGATGTTAACAAATGAGAGAGCCTCGCAAGACGACACACTTCTTGCAGGCTTTTAATAGATTATTGCGCGACCGGCAGCGGGCGGCGGGCGGCGGGCGGCGGGGTCTGCCCTACATGCAAACAAACACGCGGTGCTTGTTTTGTGCGGCGGGTCTTTGTGTCCGGTTTCTTCTGCCCTAATGTAATCACTTCAAATTACACGACACTGTGACTGAAACACCCTTTACCTTAACTCAGATGCATAACAGTATACAAAGCATAAGTAATATGAACTGTTTTCATGTTGATGCGAGACGAGAAAAGTTTATTACAAGAGAGGTTGTCTGTTCTCTCCTATTGTTGTCATTCAATAGAAGGCTTCACCTAGTTTCTACTTGTTGTCGAGAGATGGCGTGCGTCAAAGCTCTCGCAGCGCTGCATCGCGTCTGCATTAATCATATTAAGGCTTTTTCGTCTCTAATGCACAATGCAATGAGTGGATTAGACATTTTCTATTAAACTATTGTGCTTTTATTTAATGAAGTTAGTAACATTTCATTAATTAATGAAGACCACGAATAACTTACATAGCTACTAAAATGATAAGTAGTGCTTCCGAGTTTCACTGCGTTAACCCTCGTTAAATGTGATTTATGTGATTAAAACAACCTCAGTATAAATATAATCTACTTAATATAATCTTCAATTTGTAAAGTGTCCTTTTGTTTTTTTCAGGAACTGTTGAAGTCCGAGCAGCAAGGTGAGTTATATTTACTTACCAATCCTACTAGAAAATATGTTACAAGTAATCGAAATAATAATCAAATAGGCTGACTTTGGTGGGGCCTAATCTCTGCAATATAATTTAGAGCCCTCCACGAATACTAAATTAGTCCGTACGTCGGACATTATGCAACCCGTGTTAAATTACTTTATCATTAAACTCTGTGATTAATATTATTATAAATATAAATCGGGATAAGATACCGCTGTATGCTCATTCGCGTGACACAAGTTTGTGCAGTAAATTATACAAGCTGACCGCAACGCGAGCCTCCGCCTGTCGACACCACACAGCTGGCCTTAGATTTACTCAATACCTTGTCCTATGTATACCGTAAATAATACATTTAGTAATACAACATTCTAATAAAAACTTCATTAGTTAACTATTTTAACAAATAGATTTTTATTTTAAATTTGCTTAGACTCGAAACTCGTAAATGCTTAGGTTATACTTAACAAGCCTACTGAAACAACCTTGAGTGTAAAATATTTGAAACATACATGAAGTGGTTGTAGCGACCTCTAGTGGTCTAACAGAATGCAAAGTTCTATTTGAAAATGACATATAATATGCTTCTTATCCAATATTCAGAGGGGTGGGGGGTGCACGCGGCGGCGCGGCTTGGGCGCGAGCCAGGGTCTTGTTAACAAAGTCGTTACTCACAACAACATACACACATGTAATTATTTTGTAATGATTAGAAAATAAACATCGTTGAACTTAGACTACAGTACTTAGACGTAAGTATTAATTGGTAAGACCATAAAAAATGTACATCTTTCAAGTAGATATGTTCAATTAGGATGAAAAAAATATCTACATGAAATATGCGTATTCATATCTATTTAAATGAAGAGTTTCCTCTTTTCGTATCTAATAAGTGAAAGTAAAACAAATCCGTTCGGGCTGCAGGAGCAGAAGTAAATAAATGTCAAATACCAGTATCCAAACAGTGGGCAATTAGAAGCGCTCGGGGCCGCCGCCGCCGCCCGCGCCGCCGCCCGCCGGGACTTGCCAATAAAACACGCAACCGATGGCATTGCACGGAAAGGACATTCATAAGAATAAATAGTACTTACTTCACGACACTTGTGAGATAATAAGACAGAATAAGAAAGATCCTAGTTTATTCCTTTGTCCTATTATTTACAAATTTACAATAACAAATGTTTGTAAAACCAATAGACTATTCTAAAATCGTCATAGACTTTAGAATTCCTTTGTTAAATGTAAGTTGTCATGTGCCATTTTTCTTCAAAGTATCAAAGTTAAGGTCAGGTATAATAAAGCTCACTTTTCATGAAATTTAAGATCATGTCTTGGAAAAAACATTTTCCTCGTCTTTGGTTCATCAAATTAGCCAAGTATAAAAGGAATTAAGTATATATTTTTGACAGAAAACGATGAAAGAATTTCGGTTCGTACATTAAATAAACCTCAAAGTCCTTGTAATGTTAATAAGCGACGTCGGCGTGCGGCGGCTGCGGGCGGCGGGCGGCGGGGGGCTGCTGCTGCGGGGCGCGGGGGGCGCTCCAGTCACGCGACTCAACTTATTTCAAAGCCCTTTAAACAAGTAATGAAAAGCTTTTAAGCTTTAAAGCCAAAGAAAGTCCTCCGAGAGCTTCGCGGGGAACATTTCAATAGACGTATCTCATGTTTTCCGTCTGTCGGTCCTTAAACAACTTTTTTAATTAGGTTAAACAAAGACGCAAATGTTTATTCAATTCGGTGAATTAAAACATGAGAACTTTGTTATAAAACACAAACTTGCTACTAAAATAATTGGAATAACGTGGTAACTGGTAACAGATGTCTGCAATTATTTAGTGCTTGGTTGGTTCACAATTTTGTTTGTAATTGAAGTCTACGAAAGTGCTACATACTGCAGTGTAGCGAAGCACTGTGTGGCGGTAGAATCAATATCAATAATTTAGTGTTCCAGTTATGTGACCACCGCTCACCGCGCACCGCTGGCCGCTGGCCGCTCCCCGCTCCGGCTGCGGGCGGGCGCTAGCCGAAGCCGGTGAAGTGAACAATTTTAATGCGGGGCGGACAATTGAATAACGAGCTTTACCTCTCACTGCACACAACAAACGCTTTGCCTTTGCCTGCATTTGCGCTCTACCTCTCGTATGTACTCTAGACTCGTACAAACTGATGCAGAAAAACTCTACTCTGTCTTTGTATACATCTCACTTGTACTATTGTGACTGAATGTAACAATAAATTTATGAAACCTAATTTTAGAGTTTGTAGTACCTACATACGTACTTTAAATTAAATTTCTCCTTTATTCAGAATTTTAAATTATATTTATTTCTTTTTTCTTATAATAAACGTACTCGATGAAACTCTCGTATTGTTGTATAAGGACACAAGTCAAAAGGAAAAAATGATTATTCGGAGAATATGACTGTTAGACAGGAAATGAAGGCGCGGCCGATAGCGTTGCTTGTACTCGTATCTATTGATGCGTATTTTCTTAATAGAATGTATTTCAACGTTGCTGTTTATTAATATCTAAAAATGTGTATAACCTGTAGTGATTGTACCTTAATAGAAGTGTGAATAAGAAATATCGTCTCGCCATTTTATAGCGAAATAATTTATAGCGCACTTCGCGTACATTTACTAAAACAGTGGAAAGAAAGCAAGTGGCTCTTCTTAAAGTGCGCCAGACGACGTTAAGTATTGTACGAAGTAGGATGTCAGACAAATTGTGCAAGTGTCGGCAGCGCACGTGATCGTGTCGGCAGCGGCGCGCGCCAGACGGGCGGCTCCGCAACGCCCTCCGCTGGCCAATTACCGCGCAATATCCACGCATTTAGCACTTCTTATCATAAACAAACATTAAATAAGTAATCTACAATACAATGAAAAAACGCTTGTTAATTGATTATTAAGATCTCAATAAACAGCATTTACATCACAGCTATTGTAAGCTACAACTTAGTTGAACTACATATCAATTATTGTGTCAGCGTGTAAGCAGTTTTGTTATTTCCCACCAGAATTAGGTTATATTTTGAATGATATAAAAAACTACTAGGTTTTATTTCTAGGTAGTTTTTTTTATCACGCTAGCACACGCTGTAGTACGGTGTAACGCGCTGTGGCAGGGCAGTGGCAGGGCAGCAGCATGGCAGGGCAGTGCGCTGGCCCGCGCCCAAGCGTGTTGCGGTCACCGGATATGAGATATCACTTCATAAATTATACCCCGACCGCACTTTACGTTCTCACTTCATTATTCAATTCAATTCATTATTGATAATAAATTTAACACAGGGAAAGAGAATTACGTATTAAAATTATTATGTTTATTAAATAAAGTATTGTAAACATTTCTTAATGTAAGGTTATAACGTAAAACATTTTTGTTACTGTAATACCTAATTAGGACTTGAAAAAATATTTTGTACGAAAACTTTAATCTCCGAAAAATTAATTTGAATTATTCTTCAAGTTTTGTTTAATCTACGTTAAGATTTAAGAGGGATTTTGTTAATTCCTCGCTCTCGTTTCTCGTCCGCGGGAATGTACGCTAATACTCATGAAACACTAGTTTGTTCTAATAACAATGAAAATGTTTCGGAACAGTGAAAATTTCTTTTGAAATTCCATTATCTTCTACCTAGTCAGCTAAAGTCATACAGGTGTTCAAGTTTAAACGAATTATGACTTTTTAGACTTTGGCTTTGATGAATAAGAATTGGCTGTTATTCAAATTCAACCAGGAAAGCCGCAATATAATGTGAAACACTACGTAATAGTACTGTATAAAAAGAACGAAACGGAATATAGATAATCCTCTTATTGTATAGTTATAATCACTTAAAAAAAATTCGATAAACAACGCAATGGTTATTTTACAGATTTAAAATTTCTTCAGTGTAATATTTATTCATAATATTTTATAGGGATTCATATACTTGGGTGTATATTTACAACGATGTAGATATAGCTTACGTGTCCGTAATCATCGTAACCATTATGTTAATATGAGGCTCGCGCCGCCGCCGCCGCCGCCGCCGCCCCCGTGCAGCGCGGCGCCGCGCCGGCCGTGTTACTCAACCTTTATGTGACATAAAAACGTACTCAGATTACTACAGGTTGGTTTTCCTAACTCATGTTTTTTAAATGTTTGTAAAATTTTATGTGTTCACGTTTTAATGGAATTAGTATAATAAATAACTTTACAGCGCACTCCAACCTCCAACCCTCCGCCGCCCGTTTCGCATTTACCAGCATACATTATACGTACGAGTATATTTACTTTAATATAGAATTTTTAAACATTTTCTTTTGCTTCTTTTTAAAAATAAACAGTCTAAATGGTTCTTAGGCCACTGTTCACCGAAACCAATAACGTCTTCACGAGTCAATGTTAATAATGTGCTTTACATTCACATCTAATGTTCGAGACCTTAAAATAATCCGGCCCTCACATGCGAGTACCTCGCCGCCGGCTCTCCCCGCCGCCGGCCCTCGCCGCCGGCCCTCGCCGCACTGCGCTGAGCAAGCACACTTTACACTCAATGATCCTATAAACTTTTTTAATGATTAAAAATACGTTTCATTTGTACGCGGAGTGAATTTTGGTCCAATTAGGTGACCATCAGGTCGACAGAATATCTCTAAATGAGTGCAATTTCATAATGTAGTGTTTATTGTAATTTATTCGACCGTCGGTATTTTATATGAATGCGCCTTTTGAACTAATTCCCAAAAGAAAGCTTAATAAATCACACGCCGAGCCCCGCGACCGCCCCTACCCCCGACGCCCGACCATCTACCCCCGTGACCGCGGCAAACGGCTCGACAAAAGGTTAATTCATCGCAAGTTTTATGAATCGTAAAGAGATGTTCGATTCGAAATAATGAAAGAATATTGAGGGTTGGCAGGATCTTTTGTTGTAATTCATCCATAACTCATAATTAATTTAATTTCCTTTACTCGAACCAGGAAAGCTTCT